CCACCAGGGAAGTCCCCAAGGTGTATATATTTTTTCAGTGTTCCACACCCTTCCAGATCAGTTTTAAGTTTAAATGTCAAGTTGGGAAAAATTTTTCAATTGCTTGTATTAGGGATACTTTTTGTTCCGTGTATATTTTGAAATATATTTATTTATGTATTTATATATTTTACATAATTATACATATTAAAATTTTAATAGGAGATTTTTCTGCTCTTATAAATATTTGATTTTATAATAAATTTCACTGACTAAAAGGTATCTGTTAGGTAACACACCAAAAACTTGTATATGGAGACAAGTATGATTTTTTTTAAATTCATTGACTTCATTCAAATAATTTATTTTTATGGTAGAAGTTTTACAGGTGAGAAACTTAAATACATTGGTTTTAGGGCCCCGTCAGTTACCGAAATTCAAAGATGCTCAAGTTCTGGCGTAGTGTTTACATATAACCTATGTACATCCTCCTGTACACTTGAAATCATCTCTATATTATAATACCTAATGCAATGTAAATGTTATGTAAATAGTTGCAAATACAATGTAAATGCTATGTAAATAGTGTAAATACAATGTAAATGTTATGCAAATAGTTGCTGGTGTTCAGCAAATTCTAGTTTTGCTTTTTTGGAACTTTCTGGAATTTTTTTTTCTTGAGTATTTTCAATCCACTGTTGGTTGACTCCACCTTTGTGGAACCCATGGATAAGGAGGGCCTACTGTATATAGATAAAAGAAGTCAAAGTATAAGAGGGTGGAGCTATTGAGGGAACACAGTATGCGTTTCTCTACTGGCTGGTTATTTAGATGCAAGCTTTGTGTTTTTGTCCACTGTATTGAAAAAGTGGAGGAATTTGATTTCTGAGATTGTATGTTGATAATCATCTCTTATATTAAGAATAACATTAGTTATTAAAGAAGTAACACCATTTGTGTAAAGTAAACTGTGCTAGCTTCCCCTCCCCCCCAAATACAGCTGTGAATTTAGAAGAGCTTAGGGCCCTGAGCAATATGAAGAAGATGGATATAATAAAACCCAGGGGCTTCACTCGTGGTCAGAACTGTGTAGCATTCATCACCCTTTGTCTCAAATGTAAAACTAAAGCGGCTGAGTAGGAGCAGTGGTGATGGCTTTGTCAGGAGACTGAGACAGCAGTAGAGAAAACTATAACTCAGTGGTCTGAGGTCATTTAGTAAAAAAAATAATGCCACCGTTTCGTGGAGTCTCTTCATAGTGCCAGGCATGTCACACATATTCTCTCATTTACGCTCACCGATCACTTACCACTTTTTAATAGAGAGAAAACTGAACTGGGAAGTTCAATGATTTGTTCAGGGACTCATGACAGTAAGCATGGAGTTGGAATTCAAACCAGGTTTGTAAGAGCTTAAGACCTGTAATTTTTTCACCATACTGTGTTACTAGAATTTGAAGGCATCATCTTTTGGTAGGATGGCCCAGAAATTGATGTGTTCAAGATCCTGGTCAGTCAGGAAAACATTGTTACTTACACTTAGGTTAAGACATAAGGAAAAAACCTTGGTTTAATAAAATATAAATTAAAGACATTCCATTAAAAATGGTTTTTAAAATGTTTTATCACTTAGAAACTCACACACCAGGTATCAAACTCAATTGAAGGAAACATCTCTTTGCTTTGTTCCAGGAAGATAAAGTGTTTTTGTGTTTTGGCCAGGGGTTAATGTGGAGATTATTTCATTCCAGGAGGGATTTGATCACTGTAGTAGTTTTCTATTGCTGCTGTACCAAATTACCATAAGCTTAGAAACTTTAAACAATACAAATGTATTCTCTCTTAGTTACTGTCGTTCAGAAGTCCAATATGAATCTCACTGGGCTAAAATCAAATGTTTCATAGTGGAGGCTCTGAGGAAGAATCCAGCTCATTCAGGGTGTTGACCAAATCCATTTTCTTGTGGTTGTTGGACTGAGGTCCCTGTTTTCTTGCTGGCTGTCAGCCTGAGGCCACTCTCCTGTCCCTGCACGTGACCTCAGCATCTCAGGAACTACCAACAACTTGTCACATCCTTCTCATGATTGAAATCTTCATTGTAGGAAAGCATTTTCCATTATAGGAAAGCATTTCACATGACTCTTTCAGATCCTGAGCCTGTTTAAGACCTGGAAATGCAGTGGGACATCTGATGCACAGGCATTTAAACAGCATTGGGGGTTGTTAGGGTGTGGAGGGATTCTAAAGAGTGAGGCTTATAAAATGCCCTCTGATTTAGAGACAGAATTTTTTCCAAAGGCTTTTATAAAGAAGTCTTGTTTTTTCAGGTCTACTTTTTGTTTAAAATTTTTGATTCTATTTGGTACTTGTTTTTTTATTTATCACCTACCTCCTTGTCCCTAGTACTTGTGTAATGCTTAGCACATGGTAGCTTTTCAATAAATTTATTGACTTACTCCTGGAGTGCAGCTTACCCTTGCACAAAACATCTTCTGCAGATATGGACTGATGTGTTGGATTTTTTTTTTTTTTTTTTTTTTTTTTATTTTTT